GGAGAGAGAGAGAGAGAGAGAGAGAGAGGAGTAAAGCAGACTCAGATGCTTGAAAAGCAAAGTGAGGCCATCTGTTTCTCTCTCTTCTCTCTCTGATGCTATCAAGGAATTGAAGGCAAAATGGACGTTGAGTTTTGGGCTTCGCGCATGCAAGCGGCCAAACACCTCAGCGCTGTGCATGCTTCAAGGCTCAACTCTGGTATTAAAAGGAACCCACTTTCTTAATTTCAACTTTTTCGCATTTCTTTGCCATGTTTGATGAAGATGGGTGCTACTGTTTCCATTTTTTCCAAAATGTTATTTTTCCTTTGTTTTTTCTTGGATAAGTTTGATATGACATAGATGGGTTGAAATCAGTTGGTTGGTTATCTAGTTTGGTAGGAATCTGGTTTTTGATATGTGGGATTGGATTGAAAATGTTTTTTTTAGAGAATTGGATTGAAATTTGAATTGGGTCCTGATTTTTTTAGTTTGGTCTCTCTCTCTGTACATTTCTGTCTATACTGTCTATAATTATCTCTCTCTCCTCTCATTCAGTTTTGTTTTTCTTTCTCTAAAACTTCTGTTTCAATAGGATTATATTATGCTTTCGTTAATTAAAATTAGGTACTGAAGTGAATTTGGTGTATTTCACTCGATTACTTAGGTTATTCTTTTTCTAGAAGGAAAAAGTTTGTTAAAGTTGAAATTTTGGGGATTGCTGGGCACTGTGTCCTATCACTCTAGAGTGAAATATTTTATTTGTGTTGGAGGGGTCTGAAGAAGGTTCATACAAGTGTGTTTATGGTGGCTTGCTGAGATCAGATGTTCACATTTGTGGCAACAAAATAAATTTGTGTCATTGTAGTAAAAGAAGTATCCCAAAATGGTAGACTGAGATTCTTCGAGTCATTCGAGCTTGACTTGGAATCCCCCCAATGTATTAGTCTACTTATCAATATTTGATCAAGCTTAGGCCTTGAAGTAGTTTAACATGTGTATTTGCATGTGTTCTGATGTGATGTCGTTCATAATAATTTTTCTATCCAGTTAAGTCATTGTGTGTGTTCAGCTTTAGTGATGCTTGATCGCGCAATGAAATTAATCAATTCTGATGGTTTGTAATTTATAATTAGTTTTTCGCATCCATTTGTAGCTTTTTACTTTATTCCTTTTTCATTTCTTCGAGTAATGAGATCATAATTATGTTTCTTGTTACTGAGAATACACATACAGCAATGCCACACACGAAATGTTTTTTCCATATATTAATTGCCCAAACTAACTGCACCGCCATCGTATTGGCACTGCTTTCACTCTATTACGTGTTCTTGAGAATGTGTTAAGTTGCCATGGTTTCAAGATTTCACTCATTTCAGTTTGTGGCGTGTATGTTACTCAATCCTAATTCAGGAAAGAACCATCTTTCTTCATCAAGAACCATATTTTTATTGAACAGTGACAGTTAGGGAGATATACCGCAATTATCAACTTCAACCTTTAGACTGCGCAATCCATAAATTTCTCATGTAATGGAAATTCACATTAATTCCCATCCACTATGTTCAAATTAAGAGCAGTTTATATGTATATATAGATGCTTGGGAAGCTTTTTAAGCTTATTTTAAGGCATTTATAAATAACTAAATGGCCTTTTGGTAGGTCTTATATGCTGTTTTAGTTTTACATATTTATGAAAAGAAATTATGTAATACCCTTCGAAACCTTTACCTCTTTATTAGGATTTCTTGTTACTCTTCAATATACAAACTGTTCCTTGTCGCTTCTTAAGTCTTAACAGGTTTTGAAAAACTGATCTGTTAGGTGGATCAGCCACTGATTGATTCGGATCCCAGTTGGCGGTGGCGTCCACATAGTTATGTAGTTTAGATATTATATAATGGGTGCGGTTTGTATAGAGCCGAGGCTCTAAACAATCAAATTAGAGCCCACCTTCAAATAGTGTCGAGAAATGTGGTTTCAATGCTGGAAATCTTTGTGATAGCCTTAAAATATAATTTTATCTTTAATTATAAAATTTAAAGCTTAAAAAATAGTGCAGATCGAACAGATCTGTGAGAACTTGAAAATCTTGAAAATTGACGGTCCAAAAATGCGTTACAATATGGATTATTTCCAAAACATGAAATCCATTTTTTTCTCATATCCATACATCTTGATGTCGAGATAATCAATTTGAGGATATTTGGGCACCAAAACAACCTCTTCTAGTGAAATTTTTGAGATAGGCTCTAATTTGATTGTTTAGAGCCTCAACTCTATATAAACTTTTCCCTTATATAATATATATAAAATGGAATTGTCGATTCTGACCAGCCCTGGTCTTGAACGATTCCTGATCCAGGTAGGTGATTCCTAATATGGATCGGCAGTTTTCCCAAAGAAATCCTATTCTTATTGGGTTTCTAATTGCTTATACAATACCGCTTTCAATTTTGAATGCGTTTAAGAAGCCCACGAACTTTATCCCAAAAAAGATGGCTGAAATCAGATTTAGCTTCTAGCACCCTAAAACTTGATTATATGAATGCTTGCTTGCCCTTAATGCCTTCAATTTGGTGAAGCTTTCTGCCTTCAATGGTTACGTATTAAATTAAGATTTTGATACCTCTTAAGTCTGTTCTTCTAAGGCTTGTGTGTTGCTTATATAAATTCTTCTTTTGAGCCTGAATGTTCTTGAGAAGCCCAAAACAGTTTCTTGTAAAAACAGAATGATGACATGATGTGTTATTGCCTCCCCTCATGATCGTTTCTTTAAAGTTTCAACTTGCCCTTTGGAATCTCAGTTTAATGAACTTTCACCCTTCAATTATAAAATGAAGATTTTGGTCACCCTGTTTTGCTCCTAGTATTTTACTGGTCTACTATATCATAGTAAAGAATATGCCTGCTTCAACCATGGGAAAGTGGAGTGTAAGTTCCAAGTTTATAGCAGAGTTATAACCTTAAAATATTGTGGTTGCATTATTTTATTAACAATTAATTTGTTCCAAACATACCTTAAGATCGCCTGTTGAAGCCCATGTATGCTTTCAACCTATAAATTTTATTTTGTTGGCATTTCTTGATAGAAACATTTGTATGCTTTATATGAAACTCTTTAAATCGAAAATCTAATTCTCAGCCATGGGCTATGTTCTGCTAATTGTAAAACAACAAAAATAGTTTTAAGATAAGAAATTTGTGCTAACAACACATTATGGTAAATGCTATACCTTTACTTGTAACCAGTGTTTAAAAACTCAGTGAGTCTGACTGAGACTTGCTCGAGTTATTCGGAACCGGTGACCTGCCGGATTCGGATGAGCTAGACTCTATTGATCTGAATCTGATTGGTGACTAGCTTTGTCAAAACCGAGTCTGTCAGAGTCTTCAAAAAGATCCAGGATTATTCTTCAAAAGCAACTACAACAAGCTCGCGACAGGGAATCATACTCTTAAGTTGCAATAAGAAATATACATCAGAACGCAGGATGTATCTTTCATTCCCTGCCCCTTTCCTCAAGGGACTAGCTTCCACACTACCACTTTTAGGATGTGATGAAATGTGATTTCAACATATGTAGCAGGATTTTACTTTGTTTTGGCATGCTTAGGAAGCCATGAATGCAAAAGGTGACTCATTGGCAGAGGGGGAAGTAGCAAAGATTCTCTTGTTTTCAATGATAATTTCCACTCACATAAGATTATTGGTATACTTCTCTCCTACATCAAGATAGTAGGTGCTACTTGGTATATACCTCATTTGGCTCTTATCAAAATGCTAGTTATTTGAAAAAAAAAAAAACTTGGATTTACAAAAAGGTGATTTTCCTAAATCGAACCAATAACTATGCATTATTTTAAAATGCGGCTGCATCGCGGCATATGCAGCCACATAATGCGCTATTCGCCCTTAAATGCATGGCATAGGGGTGCATATGCACTTTGGTGGGAAGCACCAGCATATGCGTCGCATCCCACTGCATATGCGGCTGCATAGCGCATATGCATCGCATAGCTCATGGGTGAAAATAGTGCCCACTAGCGTGGGTATTTTGGTCACTTCCCCCCCGAAAAGGGGGGAAAGGGTTTTGGGGGGTGTTAACCACCTCCTCCCCCCCACACACACACACACACAAAGAAACAGGCACATTGGTGGCTGGTTTTGGATCAAACAAAAAGAAAAACAAATTTAGGCAGAATTCTTTTTTTTGCAAAAAGTTGTCGATTTGCTCTCAGTTTTGGTTGGGTTGTCGATTGGGATTAGCTTGGGCATTGTTTTGAAGAAGTTTGAGCATAAATTCGTCAACATGTCTAGGGTTTCTAGGGCCCGACTTTGCAATTGCGATTATGGTTTTTGGATACTTATGAAATACGATAATATGATGTCATCTAAGGTCTTCTATAAAATTGCTTTTAAGTTTATACTTCTACTTTCTACTTTCCACTTTCTAATGGCTTCTAACAAGGGATTCAGAGTCTCCTAGCAGCTGATCACATTGGAGTTAGTGAATAAATTAAATAACTATTATCACATATTTCACCTCGGTATTTTTCTTGCATTAACTTATTTTTTGAGTTTTTTTGGATTTTTTTAATATGTATTGACTGTATCGAGGTGATATGCCCGCATCTGTTTTGCATCGAGCCGCATCAGCTCCCTGCCGCATCGAGACCGCATCCCACATTTTAAAACACTGTATCTATGAGAACATATATATGGGGAATGATATCATGTCACTATACTATTATACTATAATGAGACCACACTTCTAGAAAACCATATTTTTGGCATTTGTATGGCCCCAAAACATGCACAAAACTTCTCTTTGTCCTAATAATCCATCCTCAAGAAAATAGAATTCAATTTGCATCCTGGATATAGTAAAAATGAGTCCCCTCCAACAATGAATCTAGACCATTCATTTAGGGAATTTTAAGATCTACACCATTACAAACTCAAAACCGTATTTCTCTTTTTTAACATTGTTCATCTAAATAAGAAAACCATCTAAAGAAATTTGAAAGGAAAAAATCATTTTAAGTCCTAGATCTAAGCAGCTTATCAAAATGGACGGCTATGTTAATTGGGCTAAAAAAATACTTTCAAGGGTTGTGTTTTCAAATTTTACTTTTTGTGATTGTTCATTGGAATGAAAATAGT